GAAACAGCAGCAGCAACAAGAATCATTTTCGAAGAAGTGATGCAAAAGCTTCCTTAGTTATGACATAATCGTAAAGATTACATTATAGCATGACTAAACAAGGCCAGGGGGACATCTGTTCACCTTGAATGTCCTTCGATCAAGTGTTTCGCAAGTGCATGTTCTTGCCTCCTTCTCGCCATGATTTATTTTTGGGCGGAGATACTGGGGCTAAGGCTGCTAACCCAGACAAACGCTTCTCATTTCCGGTTCCGGTAGTTCGCTCTCGAGTCTCGCTCGCTTTTGCCGCAGAAAACACAAAAAATCTACCGCTCACGCTTCGCGCTCGTGAAAACAATTGAGCTCGGCTTGTAGGCAGGTCTAGGAAGACCGAAACAAGAACCGTAGCCTGGTAGGGGCGTTACTTTTAGGTCGATTTAGGGATCCAAGAAAGGGCGTTTAATAGATACGACATGTTTAAAAGAGAAACGTTTAGTTTCATTTTTGTGACAACCTTTACAAAACTAATATTCGTTCAGCGAAAATATGAAGAGAGTTTATAAGTATGTGTAATCCGATGATGACCACTGAAATTAGGGAAAAGTTTTACGGGCGGGAGACATCGAACTTCCGGTAGCTATTCATGACGTCCGGGAAGTCAGTGTATTATCCATTTTTATATTTTTTCTCTATGATAACTATTGTATTCTGCTCCCTGTCTTTTTATTGTTGGTGTTGTTTATTTTTTTCTGCGCCTTCCCCCTTAGCTTGTATTTGGCGCTCCTCGCTCTCTTCTCGCTTTCCTTTGCTCTTCTGAAAAAAACGCAAAAAATAACTCCTGTTATGCAGGTCATGTTTTGTCTTGAAAATTGTACACATTTTTGTGTTTAAACAAGTTATAACGAAATTGAAGTTCAGTCTGCCCCACTCTGCCCTCTTTAGCAATGTCACGCAACCTTGCGTGACATTTTGACAATGATGTTGTTTACTGTCGGTTTCAAACCAAGATGGCTGCTTGCTTACACCAAGCGCTCGATTTTTACGATCTGACAGGAAAATCGGAGACTATAAGCGACATGGAACACTGTATGAAACCTAAAGAGGAGTTTTAACTGCCCAAGGATTGATAAAAGACAGAGAGATCTACTGAGCCAAGCAAATTGAAATCGTTTTAATATCGCTAGTAAAGTCCGACTTTCGTGGTTCTTCAAAAACAACTGCAACGCGATGATCATCATCTTCTCAGTGGTTGCTTCAGCTCTCTTGGCTAGCATCGTATTTTTGGTTATTAGACTGATCGGAAAATATCACGCTTTAGCAGACCTAAGAAAACTACCTGGTCCAAGGCCTAATATTTTCTTTGGAAACGCATGGCAGCTTCCCAGTAACCCTGAAGGTACCCATACCGCAGTATCGATCTGTTTTCAGGTTATACGTACTTAGCTTGTTGTAAAGCATTTAAATAATATGCTTTACTTATTGTAGGCCTCGTCTTGAGTGCAGTTTTATTAACCAAAAATTTCAGAAACTTCTGTCTTCTTAGCCTCCCACGCAGGTGTTTTTGGGGGAGCTCGTTTTTCATCCCTGTGAAAAACGAGCTCCCCTAAAAACGGCTGCGTGGGAAGCTACTGTCTTCTCGGAAAAGGAATATTCGACGGATCTGGCCTCACTTGAACTTCTAATCCTCCTTAATCCGATTATGCAGTCTTCGAGGTCATTTCGATCGTCCTAAAAAATTCCCTTTTTTAACTTTCAGTGGTCACGCAACTAATCGACCACTTACGGTAAGACATTTCCGGTCGCTTCTCTCCAACCGAAGAAATTAACCCCGATATAATTCTGTCTTGATAATGAACGTTCTTGTAAGCTGCATATCCTTGAAATTAACTTTCGTGTCGAGCCTGAATAAGCTAAGTAAGAAATATTTCAAGACAAGTAAATTGTAAATACTTCGAGTAAAATTAAGCTTCACCACACAACCGTTTCTTTTTAACTCAAGGCTATTTTCCGACGCACATAATTAAGATTGATTGACATGATTCGCCTTTTTCAAAGCTTACGAAACCGCAAGTTCCCAAAGTCGGTTTTAGGGATGGTTTTTCAAGTCACTTGAGGTCTTCTAGAATTGTTTCAACTTTCCGACTCAGGGGCGGATCCAGGATTTTTTTTAGGAGGGGGTGCACTCGTCTCTTGCTCTACTTCAATAAACCACATAGTTTTTTTTTTTTTTTTTAATGGCAAAATACCAGTTGTATTAGAAAACCGCAGGTCATCTCTGGGGGGGCACCCCTGCACCCTCCCCCTAGATCCGCCCCTGCGACTTAAATGAGATGTAAAGTAAAATAACTTGAGATTTTACTAAGGCCTTTACACACTGCACGTATCTTTGGTTAAGTAAAACTGAGCAGCTCTCAAGTCTTACTCAGTAACGGCAAAGTGCAAAGGCTACCATTCTTTAAAATTTCTAGGCATGTTTAAACAAGTACTGCAGTGGGCAGATGAACATTGGAAAGAGGGAGTTTTCTTTCTCTGGCTAGGGCCTTTTTACCCTTATGTGCTAACATTTAAACCTGAATTTGCCGAGGTAAGAAATGTCTAGTATTATATATAGCACAGAATTGTATAATTTATTTTTTAGCTGACCCTGTGACTACTTTCCCAAACGCATATCCAACTTCAGCCCTTCCCAGAATACGCCGTGTGTCTTAACCACGATACGTAACCGTGAAAAGGGTGGTCACGCAACACTTCTTCTTTCTTTTTGAGAAGGAGCGTTGCGTGGAAACCCTGATAACGGCTGCAAAGGAGACTGTGTGTAGTTCCGCACTTCCGCGAGAGAAAGTAAGGTTTTTTTTAGAGACCTCACAGCATAACAACGGCGACGACCGAATGGAAACGTCTGTGGAAAACGGGTTCTTACAAACTTCTTTCACGATTACTATTAAAGTTGGGAAATTAAGTCAGTGAAGGTTTAGCTAAAAAGAAGCGTCCGAACTCAGATAGCCTTGTTTGTCATGTTCTCAAGAAAAAGGTGAAGAAAATTGGGCTTTTGACGTAGTAGTTTTGTCAGGGATGTTGTGTCACGGAAGGCAACTGAAAAGCATGTTGCACAAGAGGAGTTCTTGTTCTTCTTCTAACTTGTTGTTTTTTTGTTTTTGTTATTGTATTTTTTCACTTATAATCTATCGTTTTTTGACATTCCCTCTCTCGGATTTGATGAAAGAAGTGCAAGGGAAACCCTTTGGTCAGAGAAGTGACTGAATACGTACAGACACAAAGTTCATGAGTACTTAAATTCTCTTTATATTTTCAGATTCTCTTGGACAGCTCAAAACACTTGACCAAATCTAATGATTATTCATACATGATTCCGTGGCTTGGGACAGGTTAGTGATGTTCTAAAACCATTCTGTGTTGGAGTCCATGGCATAATAATCAAACTGGCTCTTCAAAGAAAACACAAGGGATCAAAAGAGAACACCTTCATAAAAAAAAAAAAAAGTCACTTTGATTTATTTTATATTGCCTCCTGCTCATTTCATTTGTGCAGAACATTTGGACCATTTATACGAGAAAAAATAAGACATGTCTTACATAAGACGCGTCCTAAATAAGACGCAAACTATCCCGTATGAACGGCACATTTCGTCTAAGACGCGTCTTATTTAAGAACAGCCCTTAACACCTGTTCTTCGATAAGACGCGTCTTAGCTAAGTCGCGTCTTCTTATGCAGCCTCTTATTTTTCCTCGTATGAATGTCCCTATTGACTCCGATGGATAGCAACATCCTTGGAAAGAATTAATCCTTTTTTAACTATTCGACGACCTTCACAAACGCATACTCATTACAAAAATTCACCACTTCGCAGGTCACCCCACTCGCCTTAATCTAACCCCAATCTTCTCTTAGCCAGTTCTAGGTATCTAGGTTTTGGACTGAGGGTGGTGCGAGATAGAGAGCACCACGGAGGAAAAAACGCGGAAGATTTGAAGAAGGGGGAGGAGACAGGAGGTTTTTTCGCCCTCTCCCTACCCCCTCCCTTGTTGTTTTTTTCCTGCTCACTTTTCTTTGCGACAATTAAATTCTGTTGTTAAAGTAGTCTTGTTTTTATTTTTCATGTTTTTCCTGCCTGTGTGTGATGTGTTGTTCCATCATCCATCATGACATGCAATCACCGCAATGCCGGGCTGGATAACAAACAAAGGCTTATTAATTAGGTAGGTAAAATAATTCCTACCTTGATCTCATCGGTTTCTCTTATTATCCTCAACCCTTGAACCTATGAACAAATTCATGACTCACTATGTGAAAAAGCAAATCTATATTGTAGAGCACGAAAGAAACGGGTCCAAACATCGAAAAGCTTTTGAGAACTCGTTTTCCATACCCTTGTGCATTCCAGATCGATCAAATTGGAATAAAAGTGTTCGCTACTTAAAGTGATTGAGTTTTTGTTGTGGGTTCTGCTCCACTAACCAGAGAGATTAATCTGTTTACATAGAACCTGTGACAAGCTCTACTGGGCAGATAACAATGAAAGAATGGAACTGTTTCATAACCCATACCCTAACATCTTTGCAAGAAAAGAGAGAGAGAGAAAATGAAACCCGCTGGTGCCTGCTCCCGTTTTTGCGCTTAGCTGGGAGCAAAGCCACTATCTTTCACTGTATTATTTAAACTATTTTTATCCTTGCCTCACCTTCTCTTGACATGTGACTTTTTTTTGCTTAAACAGTGAAGGCTCGAAGTGGCGGACGAGAAGAAAATTGATCACTCCAACCTTCCACTTCAGAATTTTGAACGATTTTCTTCAAGTATTCAAAGAACAAGCAGCGATTTTGGTTGCTCGCCTTGAGGTAATTAAAATTTACATTTTCTCCAACCTTCCGAAGTGTTAACTGAGTTTAATATTGGAACATGGTGTATGCGAGAAAATTTACAATATGCCCTATTTTAACAGAAACAAGTCGGCAAAGGAGTCTTCAATTTGATGCCCTTCATCTCACTTTGTACGTTGGATATCATTTGCAGTAAGTATAATTGAATTCTAAAATATCGAATATAACCTCGGTTTTCATTGGAATCAATATTTATATTAACAGGACGCCTGCCACCCATCCAAACCTAGTTCCTATCTTCTACTTAAATAGACGAAGTTGTATCAAAGGTTACAGCCCCACGCGGTATTCAGGGATTATATCGACCCATTCGCTCTTGAAAATTTTGCCGCAAAAGCGTCTTGAAGCTAGTTTGAGCCGTTTTCTGGTCACTGTCTGGCCATAAAGAGCTAAATACTTACCACAAATCCGTTTACAGGTAGTACACTTCGCGGCCTGATCCAGATCCAAAAATTCGCTTTCGAAGTTCGAGCATGCGCAAAAAGCAAAATTTTGAGAGGGTTCAAAAATGACACGGCAGTCTTGACTTTTTCTTTTCGCTTTCTCTCCTCTCGTCTTTTTTTTCGCTTTTCTTGTCTCAAATTTTTTTGCTAAGGGCGTTAAGTAGGCTTCATTTTGGTGGGAACTGTTTCTGGGAAAGCTTTCAGGGTCTTAGGATTAGATAGGTAGGTCGGTTGTGGAACAAAATTTTCATGGGAATTTTCGGGTTAACGGTACATGTGTGTTTTTTTTTTGGCCTTTTTCTCTGGCCTTCGTGACTGAATCCTGCTCAGTGGTATGGTGTGAAAAATCTCTTCATCCTGCACAAACTTAACGTCCTTGGCCGTTATAACTGATGACGTCAAAAGCGGTAGAAGGAGCGTGGATTCACACGGGCGAATGGGTTAAGAAAGTCAGGGTCCTTAATTTCTATTGTTAAGGAACTTAGTGTACATGTGATCATAGAGGTCATGATAATCTGATGAAAATTATTCCTTTTGTTTGTTTTCTTTGATTTTAAGTCACCTCCATGGATTCATCACCAAACGCTCAAGAAAATAACGATTCTCCATACGTGAATGCTGTCTTGAGGTTTGGAATAGCTATAGAGCTCATTTCGCTTTACTAATTTCAACTGAATTACCTTCTTCTTAGTAACGTAGCTTGGAGTCTAGCAAGATGGTCCCCAAAGATTCCCAAAAAGGCTCTTCGAGATGTGGAGTTTGCCTTATTTGTTTGCCCGCATTCAGGATATCGATTTCATAGCAAAATAGTAACAGGGTTCGGAATTGAAAGTATGCACGAGATGCGGGATTCCGAAAATAACCATCGGGATTACGGGATTGCGCGAGATAAGGTTCGGGATGTGGGATTTCCCTTGTTTGAAGCTCGGGATTTGGGATTTCAAAGCAAAGGTAGGGCGAGATTCGGGATTGAAAGTACGCACGAGATGCCGGATCCCAAAAATAAACTTCGGGATTACGGAATGCTTCAAATCGCTGCTAGTCACAGGTCTGTGAGGTATAATACTAACCTCCCTCCTCCCTTCCATTCAAAGTTATTCCTTCAAGTTTTGAGCCTGTTCTTGTATTGCTAGCGACTTTGATAAGGGGTTGAGGGGGGTCACAAGCACAAGTTCATGGACGGGCCAATTAACCCAAAATACGATACAGTGTCTCCAGTACGCTTGCAACTGGCTGTAAATCCCCCGCTGTTATTCTTTAGATTTTTACTTTTTTTGCGTGACCGGGCTCCACCTCGAGAATGCCGGCCTGTAATTGGCATGGCCTATGGAGTGTTTTCACATGACGTCACGGCGGCCATATTGTTGTCCCAAAACAATAAAAAACGGCGGCCGTGTTGGTGTCCCAAACTAGTTCTGTGGGAGTTGAACTCTTTTCTTATGCAAACGCTTTCTTTTGTTGTAATAAATTTGCTTAGATGCTGACCACGTGAGTGAAAACACTCTATAAAAACGTAAAGGACCCAAGCCCCTCGAACCGAAACTTTGTCCTAAATAGCTAAGAGATTCATAACTTACTGATCATACACACACACACGAAGGACTAGTTTGCTTTTACATGCAACAGAATGTCCAAGCTGGTTCACAAGAGGCAGAGGTCTCCTTGGCTTTGGAATGATGTCATTTATAGCTTGACGCCTTCGGGAAGAGAACATGATAAATGCCTTAGGATTCTTCACGATTTCACAAACAAGGTACTTATTTTACTTTACTTTTTAGCAAATGGCGGGCCTGAATTATCGATGACACATTGTCAACTCGCCCCACCCCTTTATTTCACTCAACCATGCCTTATATCTTAGTACCGTAGATGCTCGAATAAGCGCCTATTTGATTTTTTGACTCGAGAGGGGGGCGTCAATTTGAGGGGGACCCTTATTATATAGACTTGAGTTTCAACGTCCTGTAGTAGCCAAATTCGCTGTCCTTGTCAGATGTCATGCTACATTCATTGAAGATATACCTACTAAATACTATATTAATGTAAACAATAAGCGGGCGCTCATGTAGTATTCAAAACAGAAAGGTTTTATGAATAATTATTCTTTCTGGGTGGTTTCTTAGCGCGAAACTCCGACACAAATGCCTGAACAGGCTGTCATGTCAGCTGACAAGTAAACCATTAAATATATTCCATTAGGTCATTGATGAGCGAATCGCTGACCGAGCTGCCAAGAACAATATTTCACAAAAAGAGGAAGAAGACGGGGAAACCAGTAAAGAAGAGGATGTGTTTAAAAGACAGAAGCGTCTGGCATTTCTCGATCTATTACTGGAAGCGTATGACAAAGGGGAAATTTCACGGGAAGGAGTTAGAGAAGAAGTGGATACGTTTATGTTCGAGGTCTGAATGCTTGTGATAATTGCGCTTTGGCTCGTTTTCTTTTGTTTTTGTCATTATTGGCGTCGATGTTTTGCATTTTGTTTCGGCTGTTTTAATATGTGACGAAATGGAAATACTCGGTCGCATTATAGAAAAGAACTTAGAGCATACTTCTCACTCACCTACAACCTAGCCTGTGCATAGACAATTTTATATTTTTCTTTTTGAAAATCGACGAGCGCAGAGCGCTTCCCCACCCCCACCCCCTTGCGCTAGCGGTCAGTAAATCCCCACCCCCTCCCCCCCGATTTCAAATCCATACGCGCGCACGATGATGTCGAAAGAGAAAATAGAAGGTCTATGAACAGGCTACCTACACCCATGACGTGATAACCAGGCCCCTCTTTTTCAACCGGTGAATAACTATATCCCCTGGATAAATCATCATTCACTTAATGAAGCAATTGGTTTCCCTCATACTAATCCACTGGATAGTAATTTATCCGGTGAACTTTTGAATAACTGGGAGCAGATCAGAAATAAAACAAGGCCCAACAAAACTGAAATTGGTCACAGAGACGTAACTATAACTTTCACTTAGAGTTGAAGTTAAAAAAAACTTTCTAACTTCCGCACAGTGTGTCCAAATGAGACTCATATTTTCCGACTGTCCTGTAGTAGGGGTAGTGTGACGTCATGTTACCATAGTAGCAAAATTTCTGGATTTTCAACAATCTTTCTTGAAAAAGACGGCATTTGCATTGCCAACAGTTCGTGGAGATTCCGAAATTTTGCTACCATGGTAACATGACGAAACGACTTCTCCTCTCTATTCAGGACTCCACCCATATTCAATCCATTAACCCTTTAAGACCCAATATCCACAAACAAATTCTCCAAACTGATCTCTATACATTTCCTTACAGAATTTGTTGGGAGAAATTGATAAAAGATCAGAGATTTTTCTTTTTGTGATCATTTGATTAATTCTCATAGATGTTGCACTTGACATTCTATGGGTATTGTTAGGAGAAAATTGATGTTGGTCACTATTGGGACTTAAAGGGTTGAAATATTACTTTACAATGTTTACTTGAGTGAGCAACTGATCATCAGCCAAGGCTCCGAGGTTATGCAAGATGAAGTCTCCAGGAACATCCTTTAATCGCTTTTCTGTTCGTTTAAGGGTCATGACACCACAGCTGCCGGTATTTTGTTTGCCTTATACCTTCTTGGGCGCCATCCAGAAATTCAGCAAAAAGTACAGGAAGAGGTGGATCTGTTTTTTGGTGAGGGCAAATCAAGAGTAAGAAGTGTGAATACTGTTCAAAAGTAAAGTTTGCGATTATTGTCTTACTGAATCGATGTTTTACAGACCGTCGCCCTGAAACACTGTCAGTGGATGATTTAAAGGACTTACGTTACCTGGAATGTGTTATTAAGGTACTGAAATATTTCATATTTTGTTAAGTTGTTAGAAGACTGGTTTTTCTCGATTATTTTGGATGATCAAGGTAGCTTATCCGGAGGCGATTAAACCAATCAACCTATCTGTCAACTTCAATACAATTCTGGCAATTGCCGCGGTCGCCCAAATAGCCCGGATCATCTCCATCACCTGAACACATCTTGAGACAACTTGGGCCATCGAAGACAATCCGGACGATTATATGAAACTTAGAGCTTCGGCGATACTTGCTATCCACTCATTTTAACCTTATTATTTATGTTAATTTCCAGGAAGCCCAGCGTATATTTCCATCTGTTCCACATTTTGCTAGAACGACTACTGAAGACTGCCAATTGGGTAAATAACCTTACTATGTCTTCCTTTCGACCTGCAAGCTGGGGACAACCTAACTGAGAGCCTGGGTGGGGAGCGTGGATCTCCTTCAGTGGCTGATCCCCTTTGGGCCTCATTTTGGTCTAAAAATAAAGGGGAGGCCCGGGCTCCCATGGCCCCTCCCCTGGATCCACCACTGTCCTTCATAGAAGCTCATACCTTACAAATGTCTATGAAGCCAAGCAATAAAGTCTCTAGCAGTTCTAAAAGTATCGGCCCTAAGCAAGGTTATTCATGCTATGGTGAGAGGTCATGAGGGAATGACGTCATGATTTAAGTTGACTACCATATGTCAGATTCACCAACCAGGGGATCCACTAGGTCAGGGCACTGGACACAAACATACCAAAATTAACATCACTTAAAATGATCTTACATAAACAGCGCGCCTTTCCCTTTTCCGCGAGCACACTCCAAGTGCCTGGGGCCCCGAATTCCCCTTACCCCTAACATCAGAAAGAAAAAAGTGCCCACGCATGCGCAGGCTATAGCCTCGATCATTTAGGAAAAGAAAAAACATAATTCAAATTCCGTTAAATTGTAGGTGAATTTTTCGCTCCGAAAGGCACAACGGTTGGGGTTTCACCAATGGCTCTTCACAGAAATCCGGAAATATGGCCAGCACCGTTGCAATTCGATCCAGATCGCTTTCTTCCAGAAAACAGCCAAGGGAGACATCCATTTGCTTTTCTTCCATTTTCAGCAGGACCGAGAAACTGCATCGGTAGGACATTAAAATTTACAAAATAGACGGTTATTAAAACAGGCAAACAGGTTTAATTTTGTCATGCCAAAATTATAATCCCAGTGGACAGCTAACGTCTTCCACTGGATAATCCAGCCGTCCCTCCTTGCTCCTCGCCGTTCGCATGTGAGACGTCTTTGCTTCAGCGACAGAAATTCCATACTGATGACGTAAATTGATGTTTACATACCGTAATTAATCCGGTGGTCATGGGTTTCCAAATATAAATCTGATTGATTTTATGTTTCTCTAGGTCGATTAAGGTAAAGTAGAGTGTTCTTCTGGGAACGAGCTCCAGCAAAACTCAATTGTTTAATTCTCTTAAAAGAAGAATATATTCCACGAATATTGACTGTTTTGTAGTAGATTCATCGTGTTTACATTTGACCTTTTGTCTTTTGTCTGTCATTCTTGAACTGATAGCTAAAAAAACAATAGAACTACTACTTCGTCGACCTATCAGAGTTTCAGACCAGATTCCAGATTTCAGATAGATTTTTCGTCCTCAGTACGGAATTTCTGTCGCTGAGGCGCAGACGTCTCTACTGCGAAACCTCCCTAGTGGCAAGGGGTGATGAGAGACGTCTGTATTCGCAGGCTATCATAAGTACCTAAAGCCGTCGCCTTACAAGGCGGAACGTCGGTTACGAGGGATTTGCGACTGTATTTTCTTTCTTCCTTACAGGTCAGCGGTTTGCCCTCATGGAAGAAAAGATTGTGTTATCTCATGTTCTGCGCTCCTTTAACGTGGAGTCCACTCAGACTTTCGAGGAACTTTTGACATGTGCGGAGCTTATTACCCGACCTAAAGAAGGACTATTCGTCACATTAGGAAAACGCCAGTAAATTAAAGCCACAGAAGACGCGAATGCAACAAAGGACATTGGTGACCTCAGAGGAACCATGCAAGAGTTAAAAATTGTACACGTTTTACTTTTCAAACTACAATAATCAGAAGATATCTTAAAATCACGGGCTTTTCACTACGGCTAAAAGGCTGTAGTTTCTTTTTAACAGAGTAGGCGCCCAATTTCAGGAAACGTACCATACATCCCGCCAAACATTTTAAAGCTCTCACTTCCCAGGATTTTAAGATGTTATTTATAATTAAAGGAGCTGCGTCAAAAATTTATTAATTAAAATTAAAATTCCATTAATTGGAGCTGTCACTAAATTGTGTGGAAACACAAAAATTGAGCTCAATACATGAAGGTATAACGAACAGCAAATACAAAAGAAGGCACTGATGGATAACTTGAAGATTAAAACGAACTGCAAGTGCGGTTTTTGAAACTTGTTTGCAATTGCCTAACAGTGTTTTTTAAAGTTCATTTTTGTTGTTTTTAACGTTAGATATAATGCTTTCAGAGCCTGAAATATTTATTTGATAGAAAGCTGTGATTTTTTCGTAATTACTGAGTAAATTCATCGCTAACGTTAAGTTCTTCGCGAATGTAGAGGCGCTATTGGCAATAATATACACGTTAAGATGAGGTTTGGTCATTTTACTGCAAACGACAAACTGCGTTTTGCGGTTAGCAGTTTCACGTTACCCGTCTACCCATATTTGGGACTTAAGATTCGCGGGTGCTAGCCGTTGCGGCGGTCATGTTTGTTTTTATTTGTCCATTTACTTCTATTTTAGCTGAAAATTTGTCTCCAAAATTACGTTTTTTGAAATAGAATTCGATGGTTCATAAGCAAAGAGTTCCAAAAAGTCGCATTTCTTCTCAAACGTGGGATTGTGATGTTTTAGGGTGCAAAAAACCTTGCGGTAAGTCACTTACCTATGGAGCGTGGTCTAGCCGTACAAACGTGGACCTCAAACCGCAAACCTGACGGCAAGGCCCTGGTCACGTGACTACTTGACGTTCGCGGTTAGGGGGAAATGCCGAAAAAACCTAATAACCTAATGAATCGAACTTGTGACACAACCCTTCTAACGACTATTACTAGTAATAACCTAAGTTTAGGGAATGTCAAAACGCTTTTGCTCCAATGCCGTGCTTTGCGTAAGTTTCACTTGATATATGGTCAAAACACACGTGATCAAAGTACGCCGGAAGGGTAGAAGGGCGAAACGCGCGTGATTAAATTGCGTTTTGTGCATCCTTTCATTCTTAGTGGAAGTCTAAACGAATGCTTGCTACACTGTAATTTTCAGGGAGTTATAATAACTCCTCTAGTGGGGCTAATTTAACTCCTTACAGTGGAGTTATTTTTCGTGGAGTTATTTTAACTCCAAAAAGGAGTTTAAAGAACTCTTTTTCAGGAGTAAAAGTGACCACAGATTTTGAGGAGTTAAAATAACCCCAAAAAAGGAGTTATCCTGTACCTAACATTTTTACTCCACTTTCAGAGTTAAATTAACTCCAAAAAGAGTGAAAACAACCCCTGTAAGGAGTACAAGTAACCCCATTTCGGAGTAATTTTAACTCCAAGACTGGGAGTAAAAAGAACTCTTTTTCAGGAGTAAAAATGACCCCAAATTCGGAGTTAAATTAGGAGTTAAAATAACCCCAAAAAAGGGGTTATCCTGTACCTAAAATTTTTACTCCATTTTTGGAGTTATAATAACTCCCTAAAAATTACGGTGTACATAAACGTCGCATACGTAATAACAACCTGGAGATTAGGATTGCGTGCTCCTCTTGTCGCCCGCAATTACATTAGCAAGGAGTGTCGTCTAATTTATCCAAGTCACGCATATAAATTGAATAAAGTAGGGAAAACAAGACAGGTTGCGCGTTGCGTTTTATCGATTAAGCTCCAGGAACAAAAGGGAAGTTCCCAGATCATTAGCGGTGATAATTTACTTGCACGCTCTGTACGAAAACACCTAGTGATTGTTGCGTAAATATTTTATACTTTCAACTGTTTTTCTCGTGTGGGACTTAGCTTTCTCTGCTTCATCAATGATAACAATAAAAACGAATTCGTCAGTTTTGGAGTAAAGATAAACAACAAATCAAACCAAAAGCAACAGAAGAGAAAAAACTGTGCAAAATCAAATCTTTCTTGAGTTTTTTTGTTTAAATTCGTTTCTCACTACTTTAAAAACTGTTTCTTTTATTCTTATAGTCAGCTGTCTGTGAAATAGGATATTAAAAAATATGACAAACGTGTACTTCAACAGCAACACATTTCCTTGTTGCTTTATATATTAGATGGAGTTTGTTTTCTTTGAGTTTTTTTTTTTTGCTAGATTTTGTATGCCGTTAACAAACTTCCTTTTCAGACAATTAATTGCCTTTTACAAGCTACGATATCATAGTATCCACGAATACAAATTCTGGCGAAGACACAGTGCAGTATACGAACATGTTTTTTTTTTACCCCCGCGCTCGTGTATAAGCAGGTGCCCATAAAATGCTACCTATATGCATGTGCGTGTTTCAAGCGCGGTGATTGAAACCTATGTTTAACTCAGTTGCATTTGTAGCTGTTACATATATACATATGACATCTGTCAGTAGATTGAACGCCTGAAAACGATCTCCTTTTTAAGGAGCTGTGGTGCGAAATTTATGAAATTTTAACAGCAGGAACGGCCAGTACATTGTGTGCAACATAAAAAAATAAATGCTCAAAGGATTAATTTAAAAAGAAGGTATAAATTACAAGGAAAATGCAAAAAAAAAAAAAGAAAACACGGAAAATTTGAAGAAGTGTAAATAAAAGCGAATTGCTGATTGTGTGTTTTGAAAACTTATTAGGGAAAACCCAAAAGTTTTTCAGCGTTCATATTTGTTTTTTATAACGTTTCATATAATGTTTGAGAGGTATATTTGTGGGATAAGAAAAGAAGCTGTGTTTTTGTTAATTACAAGTTATTTTTTCGCTAACGTTTCAGTTTACAGTAGCAGATTGAGACCGTAATTTGCAATATTTGCAAATTAAATGTACTTGACCGACAGCCATGAGGCTTTCATAGAAGATATTTTGTTATCATCTTCAGAACATTCAAGAGAGAGCGACAGATGACTCTGAAAAAGTATTTAGTTTACCACCCAAGGTCAGGCATAAATTAAACATTCCATTAGCAAGCTAACTTAACGCAATTAACTTCCTGCTATAAACAAAAAATCTAAAATGCAGGTAAAGTGATGTAAGCGGCATATGTAAGCGCGGCATATCACGTCCTGGTCTTGGCTCTTACTCTTTGTTTCCCTATGCAGACTAAGCGACAGTATCAACAATCTTTGGTAAGATCAACGGAGCAATATAATGGCAAATATTTGTTTTAACACAATAGGAAAAATAAGACGAGCCTTATATTACATAATGCGCGCCCTAATGACAAGACGCAAGCTGTACCGTATGAAGACTCTATGAAGAGCATTTCGTCTGAAACAAGATGGGCTGTTTCCAGATAAGATGCGCCTTTGATAAGTCCTGTTGTATTTCAGACGTTTTTAATGTGCCAGTATTTAATTGCCTCTTATTTAGGACTCGTCTTAATTTCCCTCGTTAAAGTAGTCCTGATGATCATCTTGTGTTTACTTTCTTTTAATCTTTTAAAAGGTCACCTTCTTACTAACTCAAATCAGTATTGACAGTTAGCTTTAGACACGAGTAAATTCTTACAAGAAGCCGATTATTTTAGGAAAGTTATACGTACATTCGCGAAGGAAAACAGCCATAAGACAGTTTATTGGTGGTTTTCTTGCAAGGCAATGACAGCTTCAGTCATATGCATTGGTATCATCATGATTTATAACAACTTTATTTGCTTAAATAAAAGATAAGAATTTGTTTAAAAAGGTAAAAGGTGCCACTATAGAAGAATTGAATCCTTAAACAGGGCTGACCAAATTCTGTACATAAAATATTCTTAAAACTTTTACAGGATGGCGAGTGATGGAAATAAGCCAATTATTCCAGTCATCAGTTCTCTTAATCTTGGCGCATCTGCTCCAAGGAGCACTTACTCAGCAGTGTAGATCCGAGACATCCATTTTAGGCTGGATGCTGCAGGGACACATCTACAAGACAATGCAGGCATATCGTCCACACGCATGCGTATATGGACCCTATTTCAGGCCTTATTTTTTGTTTCTTTGTTTGTTTTTGTCTTCCTTGAACAGGTTAAAACAGATGGAAACTTTTTCAAAACAACTGATTTTTTCCTTCAGGTGTCTGTTAAACATAACGGACAGAAATTTATATGAAAAAATCGTTAGCCGTATATATAAAAGACAAAATGTGGTCATATTTGGGTATTGTTTTCATTTTTCTGAGGTCGGGCTCAGAGAAAGCTTGCTCGCAGCGTATTTAACATCTTTGTCACTTATTATTGACTAAAACATAACATCAACGTTCCAAAAAGGGTCCAAAAATTTAATATTTAACAATTAATGAATGAGGCTGAGTATCTTATGAAGAATTAAGGAGATCGAGAGGGGTGTTATCCGTCGAGGCCGTGCAGGCCAAGCCGGATAACACCCCTCCGAGATCTTCATAATTCTTCATATGATACGAAAGCCTCATTAAATTAATTGTTAAATATTAAATAAAAAGCTATTAAAATAAACGTTAAAAAAAACATACAATTTAACTTAGAGTTGTTAATATTGATAAATGGATTTGAGTTTTTCTTGCTAATACGGTAGAGTCACTTTCATTTTTCCCAAGATAAATTAGTTTTTAACGAGAAAAGATTTGGGGAATAATAATCCCTATGATGGCCTAAACGCTTTGAAAAGTTTTTTTTAAAAATCATGCAGTTTATTTTTCTCCGATTTTGCCACACACGAGAGCAGTAACTGCTGACCCAAAAGCTACCCCCGCTCTCTATATTGTCGGTCAATAGTATTCTTGCTCGTTATGTAGCTCTTTGAAATATACCGATTGATAATGAAGATTTTCACACATATTCCAAACAATAGCTAGGTGAGATGAATACAGGAAACGCAAGGTTCCAGCATGCACAGTTTCAGTTCGATTTACCTAGCTTTGATCAAAACATTCTCAGTTTCGAGGATAGTTTAAACCATAAGATTTCTCTTTCACTTTTTTACATTCAGTTCATTTTATTTGCCGGAAAGTAAGCCTTAGAAATTAAAAGGACGTTTGATCGATTCACGCTCACGCATTCTAGCCTTATTTTAAACTTTATAGCGGAAGGACATCTGTGAGAAGGGAATAATTATAAGTCAGCACAGAATTTGACTGTCGGCGAATTCCTGTAATCGTCAATCGTTCTGCTAGTTATAAGCTAGCCGTTGCTGACTCGTCTTGCTTGTTTGGGGCCGCGTCTTATTCCGGTCAAAGAAAGAGAAAGAGTGTCTGGCAAGGTTTCCAATCATAGATTTTTTGTGAACTCGTGTCTGGCAAACTCTCCAAGTGTTTATATATACACAGTTATACGTACCTTATAACTTCATCTGCGCTTCACGAGTGTCTTTTGGTCCATAACTTTCAAAACAACTGCTCCACAGAATGTCACTGATAACACGTAGCGCAAAAGAGTACCCAAGTATGACTTCACAATAAATGCCACTAAATTTTCTTAAGCGTTCCCTTCGGGATTTTCTGTCTTAACGTCATCCTAGCCATTTGCGGGCGCAAACAATAGAAACGTCATCATTACCCACCGATTCCTCGCGGTCCCTGCTCGAGCAAATTGAGATTTTTTCTATGTTGACTGTCTGATTGTATATTTCAACTGTAAGTACTTTCCTTAATATACGCGCGAGCTTACTAGAGTGCCTCCTCGGCATTTCTCCTTCTGGGCGAAGTCCCTGCGGGTGCAACTACCTACCCGTGTGAAAACGATTTTAAAAAAAGGAGACGCGGGGCTGGCTTATATCGAAAACTGTGCGCACCTCCGGAAAATTTCTAACTCACCTCTGGTAATGTCGCTATTTCATAGCTGTCTATTATTTTTTTCCCAGATCTCAACCCAAGATCAGTTAAGAACAAACTTAAAACGGTCCGTTAAATCTCATCTGAAAAGACCCCAAAAGATTTTTGATTATCTTGAAACTAAGGCCAATTCAAACGACACCGGAGGAATCAGTTTCGACCGGCTGAAAAATTTAAACGGGGGATACTTGGTTCACACAGGACTCTCCAATATGTTCGCCCTTTTCACACATTGAACGGCTAGGCGTCTAAATTTTCGAACGGTTAAGCTGGTTTCCTAATCGCGCAAATTTTCAACCTGTCGAAAATTCGTCCGATTCCGTGTGAACGTCGCCCAAGTTGATAATACGGAATGTTGAAATAACTAACTTAACCCTCGGACGTACAAGGGGTGGGGGCGGGATGGTTGCCACCCCCCTCTAAGGTTTTTCTGAGTTTTTCCCTGGACGATAAAACATCAGCACCTGACGGTTTTCAGAAGCTGTTCGTTTATCTCTCATAAGCAATTTGAGACAAGTTTAGTCATGTCAGTTACTATGGTTACGAGGTATGACGTTATAAGTAGCAGGTGGTCAAGCCATTTTTGGGTGAAAATACATGTTTTCTCAATGTACTTCTTTCAACGATAAAAGTAAAGATTGTGGATAAAACGACGCAAATTGCTAATTTATGTGTTATTTTACATGTCAAGCACAAAAAATTATCATGTCCTGCGGTTTTTACATGATTTCTATTAGCCCACGTTCTACATATTAAACATGTTTCTAACCACAGGCGGCCCAGACGTAGTATGTGTCACTGAATGAATATATTAATATCCACATGGACAAATTATTGCGATGAGTCGTCGAAACTCCCATGGACTAAAATAGTCAAAATATAACAAAACAAAGCTAAGATACCTTTAACTGAACGACTCCTTGTCTTTCCTGGCCGGTTTAAGCGGCATTTTGTTGAGTTTTGAAATTGTAGGTACTATCCACTAAAGAAGAATTAAAGGCTGGCTACAAAACAAACAGACCATCTCCACGCGCCTTCACACGAAGCGCTATAAATTCGAGAATAATCGACGAATCTGCTCCAAATAACCATCGGCTAATCTGCAGGTAACGTGTGCTCCTGCTTCTGGCTCGCTTGCTCCACAAAACCCATCGCAACTGCACAATAATTGCTCGCTCATCAACAACCACTGTTGACCTTTACGCTTCGATATGACCGCAAACGACCAGGTTTAATACGCGACGTGACGCGACGTGAATATTCAAGCTTAGCGACCGCGTTCGCGCAACAATGCAGCACTTGCTATGGGGGATGGTACTATTGCTTCTAGGTCAATCGACTGACCGAAGGTTAGCTGCGTTAGTTTTGACCAGAAAACAAAAGGCGATTGCGGGACCGTCCGTAAGTTTTCAACAGGGCAGCCCTGGTTTTCAAGTTCGAATTCTTCTAACGTTCGCTGTCTCAGCTGCTGTCACATTGTTCGTCCAGCCGCTTGCATAGGTTCTTGACTCTACCAGACTTATTTGCTTAGATTAACAACGTCTTACTCCATAATATGTTGTCCAAACTGGTGAAGGAGGACGAGAATTTTCCGCCCAGGAAAAAGGCAAAATCTGGCCCCCGCTATGCAGCTGAATAGAAGATACAGCTGAAGATATCGTAAAGTAAAATTTATGTGCGCGATATCTTTTTTTATTATTATTATTATTATTCTCAAAACTCAGGGGCACCCAACGATGATTTCCCCCTAAAGGCATTGAAAACACATTTAAGGCTGTCCAGAGTACTTTTGCATGCATTCTAAACAGCGCTTACATAAATTTAGTCAGGAGGGCTAAAAGCGAAGCTAATGATTTATAGTTTGCTCATACTAAATATAAAATATATCGTAATGCTAAGCGGAGAAGGCAACGAGACAGGGCCACCCAACGACTGTTTCCTCAAATACTTTCAATTGAAAACACTTCTGTAGCTATTCATAAAGTACTTTTAGCTCTATAGAAATGCATTCTAAGTGGCGCTATAAAATTTGCATCTCAGTGTTCGGCCATTCTAGAGGAACTTGAGTCTTTTCAAAATTACGAGGAATTCAGAATTATTTTCCCGAAAATTTTAGATGCAATTTAACGTATTACGAAGGAGATAATTTTTCAGATACCTTCTTTCATCACATTTTTGAATCCGAAAATTTTAGGATTCCATTTTACTCTCTACGAAAAATTGCCTAACCCGGTGAGTGAAATGTGAAAAATTAAAAGTTGGATGCCCTTGACCAGAACTGTGAAAAACAACAATAGGTCTAATTGCAGCACACTTTCTTGTACATTTCCTTGCCGTTGATTTGCATGACTTCAACGTGAAACGTCCAGAAAACTTCCTGGGTTTCACTTTTTATGGAGAAAATGTGGTATATGTTCTTGTTCACTTTTTCCACTGCCGCTTATTTTTTTTAGGTCCGCTATAAGATTCGTATCTGTTCGGTGCTCCTTGGGCAAATTGGATCTTTTTAAAAATTACATGGGCTTCAATATTATTTTCCCGATTGATTGACCTGGAAGCAATAGTACCATCCCTCCCATAGCAAGTGCTGCATTGTTGCGCGAACGCGGTCGCTAAGCTTGAATATTCACGTCGCGTCACGACGCGTATTAAACCTGGTCGTTTGCGGTCATATCGAAGCGTAAAGGTCAACAGTGGTTGTTGATGAGCGAGCAATTATTGTGCAGTTGCGATGGGTTTTGTGGAGCAAGCGAGCCAGAAGCAGGAGCACACGTTACCTGCAAATTAGCCGATGGTTATTTGGAGCAGATTCGTCGATTATTCTCGAATTTATAGCGCTTCGTGTGAAGGCGCGTGGAGATGGTCTGTTTGTTTTGTAGCCAGCCTTTAATTCTTCTTTAGTGGATAGTACCTACAATTTCAAAACTCAACAAAATGCCGCTTAAACCGGCCAGGAAAGACAAGGAGTCGTTCAGTTAAAGGTATCTTAGCTTTGTTTTGTTATATTTTGACTTTTAGACTATTTTAGTCCATGGGAGTTTCGACGACTCATCGCAATAATTTGTCCATGTGGATATTAATATATTCATTCAGTGACACATACTACGTCTGGGCCGCCTGTGTTCTAACATGACTCCGAGGTTTCACGAATCCATTGTTTCGCAACTCCAAGAAGAGACTTGACCACAAAGAAAACCAAACCAAACGGGGAGTTAGAAAAATGACCAGAAAGCCTCGGAGTCATGTTAGAATTTTAACATGTCGAACGTGGGCTATTCTTGGTAAAATCCAAGATGGCGGCCAAAATTGCGACCATTGTTGGTGACGTCACCGGCCCCCAGCAGCGCCTCCACCCATAAAATATAGCTCATCTTATTGAGAAGATTAAAGGCTTTCCACTGAAGGCAAAATCGTTTCGAAATACTAAAACTTATCAAAAATCAGGAGGAGGCCCTCCCTCCCTGATTTTTGATATGTTGCAGTATTTCGGAACGATTTTTCCTTAAGTAGAAAGCCTTTAAATCTTGTTCCATCAACCACCCCCTCCCTCACTTCCCCTGTACCATGCTAGGGATATGAATTTGCGTGTACGTCCGAGAGTTGAAGTAATTTTCTAATTTGTTTCTTCCCTTCAATTTTCAACAGTCCCTCTTGGTTCCATTGCTGAACTTCCTGCTGAGACTTGTTATGAAATAAAAAATAGTGAGGGGAAAGCTCCTAGCGGCAACTACTGGCTTTTCGCCATAAATTCTAGCATGCCAGTCCTTACTTATTGTAATCTAGAAGGTAAGATATCTACGAAATACTTAGCACCTATCCTTACAAATATACCGAGTCCACGTAGCCTGGGGATGGGTATATCAACTCCTCTTGGGGCGCACGGGCGACAATTTGGGAGGAGCCGAGAAAAATACATGGACTGTCGCAACGGCATTGCAGCTTGAGTTCAGGGGGCAAAGATTTTTTTCATGCCTCTCACCATTCATCATTTAACAAACTCCGCTTTAAAAAAAATATATGGTTGCGTATATACAAACATTTTCTTCGGCTTCGCAATGCCGAAAAAAGTGAAAACATTCCCCATTTTTTTCGACTCCTTCCAAACTAATACTTTATCAAACTAAATCTTTTGGAGGATTTTCACCCAAAAATGGCTTTTGAATTTGAGGATCTGACGTAATGTGAAAACTAGCAATAAATTTGCATAGTTGCTGGCCATGTGAGTGATCTAGTATGGGGCGTTGGCTTTACTAGGTCTCAAAATATAAGACAAGCAAAAACAACGATAAAATTCGATGCAGTCAATCTATAGCCTGGTCCCAGAGGTTTTTCTTGAAATCTTTCTTCGCGAAAGAAAAAAAAAAGTTTTCTTCGCGACTCCTTGTCGCCGCTTTGCGGCTCGCTTTCTCTTTGGCAAAGAAAAATTTCAAGAAAAACCTCTGGAACCAGGTAGTCAATCTAATAATCGCATTTGCTTTCGTTTAATTATCCAGAAAGAAGCTGCAGTGACATTAAAGCTCAAAATCGTCAGGCCACGAGTGGCTCTTACGTCATCGACCCAGATGGCGACGGAGGCAACGAGCCTTTTACTGTCTTTTGTGACATGGCTGACAAAAACGGTGTTGGTGTGACGGTGGTAGGTCACGACAGCGAAGCTAGAACGCTAGTTGATGGCTACGAAGAACCAGGGAGTTACGTGAAATATATCACCTACACTGCAACGGGGCTTACCGGCGTGGCACAGTTAGCAGGGCTGGCAGATGTTTCCGCTCACTGCGAACAGTTTATTAAGTATGAATGCTATGGTGCCCTTCTTTTCAGAGATGATGAATGCTGGTGGGTATCACGTGACAACGCAAAGATGATCTATTGGGGCGGAGCTAGACCAGATGATTTCAAAAAGTGCGCATGTGGGGTGACATCGCCAAACTCGTGCGCAGACCCTAATTATGGATGTAACTGCGAGATGAATGATGCCACGTTGCGCGAAGACAGCGGTTTACTAACTGAGAAATCCCAACTTCCTGTGATAGAGTTAAGATTTGGAGACACTGGTGGCTCGTCAGAGAGAGGCTATCACACCCTTGGAAAATTCAAGTGTTACTCTACTCGCTTTCTCTTTGGCGAAGAAAAAATTCTGAAACTAGGTAATCAATCTAATAATCGCATTTGCTTTCGTTTAATTATCCAGAAAGAAGCTGCAGTGACATTAAAGCTCAAAATCCTCAGGCCATGAGTGGCTTTTACGTCATCGACCCAGATGGCGACGGAGGCAACGAGCCTTTACTGTCTTTTGTGACATGGCTGACAAAAGGTGTCGGCGTGACAGTAGTAGGTCACGACAGCGAAGCTAGAACGCTAGTTGATGGCTACGAAGGACCAGGGAGTTACTTGAAATATATCACCTACACCTCAACGGGGCTTACCGGCGTGGCACAGTTAGCAGGGCTGGCAGATGCTTCCGCTCACTGCGAACAGTTTATTAAGTATGAATGCAATGGTGCCCTTCTTTTCAGAAATAATGAATGCTGGTGGGTATCACGTGATAACGAAAAGATGATCTTTTGGGGCGGAGCTAAGCCAGGTGATTACAAAAAAGTGCGCATGCGGAGTGACATCGCCAAACTCGTGCGCAGACCCCAGTTATGGATGTAACTGCGAGATGAATGATGCTACGTGGCGCGAAGACAGCGGTTTACTTACTGAGAAATCCCAACTTCCTGTGATGGAGTTAAGATTTGGGGATACTGGTGGCTCATCGGAGAAAGGCTATCACACTCTTGGAAAATTCAAGTGTTACGGCTAGCCATCCCAAAATTGGTTTCCTCTGAGTAGTATTAAGGTTAACACCATTTCTTCTGAGATTGTAAGACGTTTCTCTTATGCCAAAAAAGTCTCTAATGTATTTCGGCCCTATATTCCTAATGAGTTTAAATAATAGCATCAGAGATTACTGCTTTTTACTAAACGCTCAAGTGTCCAACTTGCGTATATTTAAGTTATAGTTCTTGGTAAGACGATGATTTCCCGTGCCCTGTCAGTGTCCTTAACCTGGACTTTCCCCACCCCTAACAGTGAGGGTGGGGGGGGGGGGGACTACAGTATTCTAGATGGGGTAAAATGAAAGACTTGTATAATGCTAGCATTATTATTATTATTAACGTCCATAGGTACAAAACGCCTAATTCTCCCATTAAAGTGCGCCGGTCTTCGCATACGCCTTTTTTAGCTGACTAGAAATATGCTCTATAAAGTTTAACATGCTATCAAGTTCCACGCCCAAGATTCTAATAGAGGGAAGTTTAGTAACGCCAGAACCATTCGAGGTTAATTCAAAATCGGACTTGCAAGGACCGATTCGAAGGGCTTGCGTCTTGGCATTTTTTATCAACAAATAGTTTGCATCGAACCACTCCGACAGGCGGCTGAGACCCTGGTACACAACAAATTGCAGGGCAATGGGAGAGACATCTGATGTATACAGAGTCGTGTCATCAGCGTATAATCTCAGAGACACATCCGGGACCGCGTATTTCAAGTCGTTAATGAATATACTAGTAATAGTTGACACTACATCCTTGTGTAGCTCTTTAAAATATACCGATTCATAATAAAGATGTTCACACATATTCCATACAACAGGTGAGATATATACAGGAAATAAACGCAAGGTTCCATGCACAGTTTCGGTTCGATTTACACAGCTTTGATCAAAACATAATCATTCTCAGTTTCAAGAATAGTTTATTCTAAAACCATAAGGAAAAGATTTAATTAGAAGTTTAATTTTCGCTATTTCTATTTCACTTTTTTACATTTAGTTCATTCCATTTGCCGGAAAGTAAGCCTTAGAAATTCAAAGGACGTTTGATCAATTCACGCTCGCGCATTCTAGTCTTATTTTAAACTTTATAGCGAAAGGACATCTGTGAGCAGGGAATAAGTCAGCACAGAATTTGATGGTCGGCAAATTTCTGTAATCGTTCATCGTTCTGCTAGTGATAAGCTAGCCGTTGAATCATTCGCTCGTCTTGCTTGTTTTGGGCCGAGTCTTATTCGGTCAAAAGAGAAAAAGAGTGTCTGGCAAGGTTCAGCTGATGGTTTCCAATCAACGATTTGTGAACTCGTGTCTGGCAAACTCACCTAGTGTTAAAATATACTCTGTTCTACGCACCTCATAACTTCATCTACGCTTAACGAATGTCTTTTGGTCCATAACTTTCATAACAACTGCTCCACAGAATGTCACTGATAACTCTTAACGCAAAAGAGTATCGAAGTGTGACTGCGCAATTAATATCACAAAATCTACCTATTGTAAAGCTGTTCCTTCGGGATTTTTTTTGTTTTACGTTATCCTAACCATTTCGTACTTGCGGGCGCAAACAATAGAAACGTCATCATTACCTACCGATTCCTCGCGGCCCTGTTCAAGCAAATCGAGATTTTTTCTATATTGACTCTATGACTGTATATTTCAACTGTAAGTGCTTTCCTTAATATACGTGCGAGTTACTAGAGTGCCTCCTCGAGATTTCACCTTCAGGGCGAAATCCCTGCGGGGGTAATTAAACAACAGTGGCCCGAGAAGGGACCCCTATGGAAGCCCCCGCGCTCAACTCTGAAACCTTCTGTTTACGACTCAGTGGATAAGATGACATCAAACTCAAAGGCTGCTTGAGAGAGACGATAGGTTTTCAACTTTGCCAATAGAAGATTGTGGTTAGTAGAGTCAAAAAGCCGTTTTAAATCAACGGCCGCGGCCATGGCTGACTCTCTGTTGTCAAGGCTCCTCCTCAATCCTCCGTCATTTTACAAAAAGTAACATAATATATACTAGTGGCAAAGTTTTAGAAATATAAGAGTACTGCTAGTAGCAAATATCCTACTTTTTGCTACCAAAGCCTTAAGCCAACTGCTATGTCAAGTTTAGATTTCCTTTTGTTCAGACTTTATCTACTTTAGATACTGCTTTTCCTTGTGCATTGTCCACAAACGGACGATTCTTCCTTATTGATGCCATACAAGATAAAGTCGAGCTAAAAAATAAAATTTGTTACGGCGCAAAATGTAAAAAATTACGCGGAATGTAACATTTACAGCGGGAAGGGGAACAATTCATTACGCAACAAATGACAAAAAAAACGAAGCGTAAGTGGGGGTACCTTCCGGCAAGTGCCAACGAGGCGAATTCGTTTATCTTTGTGGAATGTGCCTATCCAGATCTTTGCCATTTGTTACATAAATTTTAGGCTGCCTGCAAACGGACGCAAGAACTCCCAACATTGTTGCGCCGACAATGTTGGGAGTCGTTGCGCTCGTGTTAACGGGTGTGCAAACGGACGCAACATTGTTGGCCAACAACTCCCAGCGTTGTTGGATGTTACATGTTGCGTCTGTTTGTACACCCTGTTGCATGTTGTTGGATGTTGTTGCGTGTCGTTGCGCAAAGTTTGAAACCGGTCAAACTTTCAGCCAACAACCCCAACATTTCTTTTGTTCCGTGATCGCCGAAAGCGTAGCGCAACAATGTTGGATCCGTTTGCACAACTTTTTCCAACATTGTTGGGCCTCGCACGTTCATTACGCATGGTTTACAAAGACTTATGGGTTGTATCCTTCCCACGATGTACTGCAGGTCCCGACATTTGTTGGGAGTTGTTGCATTCGTTTGCACACCACTGCCAACACGCACGCAACAACTTCCAACATTGTTGGCGCAACAATGTTGGGAGTTGTTACGTCCGTTTGCATGCAGGCTAAAAATTAAATTAAATTCCGAGCTTTCGCCGATCAACGGCATCATCGGGAACTGAAAAATATACCGCATCGGTAAATACATATTAAGAAATTGGTGTAAGCAAAATGTGTGAAAAGCGCGCAAGAATGGGGCGGAATGTATCGGGTATAAAAATATAAACTTTAACAAAATACAAAGATCTAATGATCAGTGGCACAGAACAAGAGTCTCTCGAAAGCCAAAATTATTCATAATGGTGGTCTTTAAACAAAAAGTCCGCAAATTCGTTGCATTCCTCATGGGAGTTTGGGGCTGTCTTCAATGTAAATCGAGCTGCAAAGGACATGAGCTTGTTGATAAAAATCTCTCCAAAGGCAAAAATAACTTTTAAAACAAAAGCTCCGCAAATGCGTTGCATTCCTCACGAGATGTGAGGACGGCTCGTGTAAATCGAACTGCAAGAAACACGCTGGTTCTGATAAACGTTTGAGAATACAACCTTATTCCTTAATTAGCTACCGCATAAAAATGCAATTTAAAAAGGAAAAGGTAACACTGAAAACCCTGGCCTGTTTCTGGGTCGAGAAGCGAACACGCTACCTCAATATAAATCGAGCTGGAAGAACAAGCTGGTTCTGACAAAATTGGACGTAAAACCCTATTCCTTGATCAGCTGCTGCTTTAAAACCCGGTTTATAAAGTAAACCAGAGCACTGATATCCTTTCAATCTAAATTGTATTAAAGGTTGCTCACCTGTTGGGGCCTCTTAAACAGAAAACAAACTAACAGCTGCACACGGGATCACCCAACTTCGAACCGCGGGGTTGTAAATAGAAAGATCATAAAGGTCACTGCCTAAATATGGGGTCTTATTTACACCCAAATATGGTCAAAATACCAAATTCTGAGGGTTACCAGAATTTGAGGGGTTTACTACATTGCGGGGGATTATAAATCTGCCGCAGGCAACCTCCTTCTTTTGTAGCTCAGTTTGCCTCAATGACAATAACTTTCTTGAACCCAAAATGTAGCAAACGTATGCGAAACTGTGTGTAACATTTTACCTCTAAGATACAGAAAAGAAACATTTAACGGTGATTGCCTCTTTTGAACATTGACACGGTATATATATATCTCTAAAAAAGGGTGCTGTAAATGTTTCCATCATAGAAATTGTCTGGTTATAGGAAATAAAGTCCTTACTTTTCCCACCTCAGCCTTCGCTTCCGCTGAACTCGACTTAATGCGTACGTGTTGTCATCCCTGCACAAACTCAATTATAATGCAAATGCAGTATACTTTTAAATGACTTGGGGAGGCAAAATGTGAAACTCAACGGCAAATTCAGAAGGCTGTGATGGTG